TCGTCTCGCTCATTCTCAGCTCTGTTTCTGCCTCTTGAAAGCTGGGTGCGTTGTCGTTTATATCCCCAATCTCTACTTCTAGTCCATAAAACTTCATTTCCCCCTCCTCTATCAGCTCACAGCGCAGCACGCATTGCTGCACACTCTCGCACAGCTGCTCTCTGTCGATCCTCTCTGCCGTCACTAAATGTCCCGTCTTCCCGTGCAGAGCGAAATACTGCGTCCTACCTTCAGAGACAACGCGGAGGACGCTCTCTCGGATCTCCGTCAGCTGCAGCCCCAGGTCCTTGGCCACGTCGCCCACGAACGAGCCCTTGGGCATCTCCTCGGGCACCGAGTAGCGCAGCTGCCCCCACGCCGCCTCCCACGCCGCCAGCAGCACGGCCCAGAGCAGAGCTCGCTGCCGCCGGCCCCAGCGCCTCCCCGCCGCGCACATCTCCGCCGGCATTGCGGCACCGCGTACCACTCACGCTCCGACTCGCCGCTCCCTGATGCTGTCGCCGGCTTTTCTGCCTCCCTGCAGAACGGCTCTGCACCGCAGGGACGTTCGCAGGCCGCCCGCCGCCGAGCCAGATCCCGAGCGAGCAAGTGATCGAGCGGGTCCGCAGCGGGCGGGGCTGCCGGTAGCGCTCCGAGCTTCCTCTCGCTCCTCTCGGTCAACAGCGGCGCCCGCAGCCTCCTCCCGGCACTGCAGGCACCGAGCGCTGACCAGCGCTGCGCTTCTGCCTTCCCACGGACAGCTCGGGAGGACCCGATATTTGCCACCGAGACAATTTTCTCGTGCAGCGGTGACCTCCTGCACCGCCTTTTCTCCAGCCGACCTCTGCTTTGATCCTTCAGGGGATCACGGTCGGGATGAATGTAGACGCATTTCGTGGGGGTGGTGCTTCTACCGCAGGAGGTACTAATAACTTACTAAAGGCAATATATGTAAATTAAAGCATGTTTTTCACATTTCAAGCTCTACATTACCATCAGTCAAACCGTGTTTGTTCAAAAACCTCTTCAGCAACGGAGTCTGAGATTGAAAACATTAGATACACACCCACATATGCCGATAACCTGAGCTATCAGGCTCATGAACACAAGCGGGATGAGAACAATTGCATGCTTCTTGAATTCAGGGAGCTAACTTTTATATGATTATTAGAGGTAGAAATAAAGATGCAGCCAACAGTCTCAAAGGGAAACTTGAAGGGACCAAGATTCGAATGTTTCAGTCTCTCTATCCTCAGTAATTTTTTTGTTTCCTTACTTTTTACACATATACACCTCATCAAGTAATTCTACAGCCACAAGAAAAAGAATTTATCAGGAATCAACTTAGAAAGTATTGAAGTGTATTAAGAAAGTTTCACAGGAATAGTTTCTTAATCAGGTTTGTACAACAATTCAAGGAAAAGAATTGTAGAACAGTAGGGGAAAAATACAGTTTCCCGCTCAAAACTCTGATTAGCCATGAAAAATGTACAAACGAGTTGGATTCAAATGCCTGAACTGTCATTTGGTTAATCTCCTTGATACTGTCACACATTCCTATCTCAGATGCTTATCCTTGTGAAGAGTCAGAATTTTAAAATCTCGCGCTGTTGTCCAAAAAATCGACATTTCCACAAATGTCAAACCCTTAGGGTAAAGACCAGAGGAAAAAGAAAAACATCGGATGCAAACCTTTCTGCACCTTGACCTCTGTATGAAATAAATATCATTAAGAGTAAAACAAGGAACTGTCAGCTAGGATGAAAAAATGAAGCCAAGCCCACTACTGCATTACCCCTAAAAGAAGCGACATTCTTTTCTTTCACTCAGAATGCAGAACACAACATTCCAGAAACGTTTCCTTTGAGTCCAATAGGCCACCCCTCTCAAAACCATTAATAAACGAATTTGTCTAAAGCTATAAACAAGTCTCAAATGCACTTTCTGAATCAAAACAGGAACGAAAAAAGCTTCAACATCACTTATCAGTGATTTTTTTTTCCTGTCCAACTACATCACACAGAATCAGCAATGGAAACGCATTTTAATTTATAGAGCACGAGTTGTGAAGACAAAACCTCTTCCATTGAACTTGACTCTGTTCCCAAGGAAGAGCCAGGTGCTACTGCTAGCGTCCTGCTCTCCATGGAAGGGGCATAGTCCTTTCCTTAATTTAGTTGGTTAAGTAATTTCCTAAATTCATGGAGATAGATGTGTGCCTCCCACAAAAAAATAACCCCGGAAAACAAGTGACCACTACCCCAAGTTAAAAAGAGAATTATACTCAAAGCATCTCATCCGAAACAGAAGCCGATACCAAGAAAGGATCAAGACTTTCTGCAGCTACATGGAGACACAAAAGGGGACTTGTCATGGAAACCATGCCGAGAAAAAGAGGGGGGAAAGGACCATAATAAAAAAGACTCAATAACAGAACCAGCGCCCGGCTTTACAGACCTGCGGTGCATCGGGATTGGCCGGCGGCTCTCCCTCGACGAGGTCACTGCTCAGGCTCGGCTTCGCGCAGGAATCGCCGCCCAGAAGTTCCTCCGCCGACAGGATGGGCACCGGCGGCGGCGGCCAAGCGGCCTCGGGCAGGGCGCGGGCGGGCGGCGGCACGCACAGGTTGTAGGAGTAGGGCAAGGTGCCCTCGCAGAAGTCGGCCGGGAAGGCGGCGCCGGCCAGCGAGAAGCGCTGCGCGCCCAGGCAGCGCAGCACGGCGGGCGGCCCGGCCCGGCGCAGCCGCGCCAGCACGGCCAGCGCCACGCTCAGCACCAAGAGCGCCGAGAGCAGCGCCAGCGCCAGCACCAGGTAGAACTGCAGCTCGGCCGCCGCCGCCGCCGCCTCGGCGCCCGCCGGCCGCTCGCTCAGCTCCGGCAGCGCCTCCTGCAAGCTCTCGGCCAGCACCACGTGCAGCGTGGCCGTGGCCGACAGCGCCGGCTGCCCGTGGTCCTTCACCACGGCCACCAGCCGCTGCTTGGCCGCGTCCCGCTCGCCCACGGCGCGCGCCGTGCGCACCTCGCCGCTGTGCAGCCCCACGCGGAACAGCGCCGGCTCCGACGCCTGCACCAGCTCGTACGACAGCCACGCGTTGCGCCCCGCGTCCGCGTCCACCGCCACCACCTTGGCCACCAGGTAGCCGGCCTCGGCCGAGCGCGGAACCACCTCGAAAGGCGCCGCCGCCGCCGCCCCTCCCGGACCCTCTCCCGCCGCCGCCGCCGCGGGCCAGAGCACCCTGGGCGCGTTGTCGTTGCGGTCCAGCACGAAGACGCGCACCGTGGCCGTGGAGCTGCGCGCCGGCGAGCCGCCGTCCTGCGCCCGCACGGCCACCGTGAACTCGCGGCACTGCTCGTAGTCCAAGGAGCGCTGCGCGTACAGCGCGCCGCTCCGCGCCTCCACCGACACCAGCGGCGCCGCGCCCGCCGCGCCCGCGCTGCCGCCCGCCAGCCAGTAGCTCACGCGCCCGTTGGCGCCCGCGTCCGCGTCCCGCGCCTGCACGCGCAGCACCAGCGCGCCCGCCGCGTTGTTCTCCGCCACGTACGCGCTGTACGCCGCCTCCTCGAACACCGGCGCGTTGTCGTTCACGTCCGACACCTCCAGCACCAGCTCCCTGCTGCTCCACAGCGCCGGCCTGCCCCGGTCCCGGGCCACCACCGTCACGCGCTGCTCCGACGCCTGCTCGCGGTCCAGCGCGCCCGATGTCACCACCTTGTACGAGCCGCCCGACGACGCCACGATCGACAGCGGCGCCTCTCCCGACAGCGAGCACGACACCTCACCGTTCTCGCCAGAGTCTCTGTCCCGAACTTTCAGCACGGCCACTACGGTGCCCGCTGGTGCGTCCTCGGGCACGGGACTCGAGAGGGACAAAATCGTGATCTCGGGCGCGTTGTCATTCTCGTCCGAGATGTCGATCTGCACTTCGCAGTCATCGCTGAGCCCGCCTCCGTCCGTCGCCTCAACGGTGAAGACGTATTTTTTTTTCTCCTCGAAATCGAGGGCACCCGCTGTCCTCACTTCTCCACTCTCGCTGTCGATAGCGAACAACGCCCTGACAGATTCCGAGACGCTGCCAAAGGAGTAGGACACTCGCCCGTTCGAGCCTGCATCGGCATCCGTCGCCCGTACCCGCAGCACTACCGACTCCACTGGCAGATTCTCCGCCACTCGCGCCTCGTAGACGCTTTTGCTGAACACGGGCGGGTTGTCATTTGCGTCTGTCACGTTGATGTGAACCTGGACAGTCCCAGACCTCGCGGGGTCCCCGCCATCGACCGCCATCAACACGAGATCAAAAGAGCTCTGCTTCTCCCGGTCCAACACTCTCTCCAGGACTAATTCCGGCTGCTTCTTTCCACCCGGCTTTTCCTTCATTGACATTGAGAACGACGGGTTGCTGGTAAGTTGATAAGTCAGAATTGAGTTGCTTCCTGCGTCTGCATCTCGCGCCATCTCCAGGGGAAAACGAGCACCGGGAGGGATCCATTCACCGATCTCGAGGTCCAGAACAGCCTTGCTGAACACCGGGGAGTTGTCGTTCACGTCCTCGATGGACACCTCGACGTGGAAAATGTTCAGCGGGTTGTGCACCAGCACCTCGAAGCTGACGGAGCAGGTCGCCGACTCGCCGCACATCTCCTCCCGGTCCAGCCTCTCGTTCACGTAAAGGTTCCCGTTCTCCTCATTCACAGTGAAGTATTGCTTCTCCTCGCTCAGCCGCAGCTTGCGCGCCGGCAGCTCGTCCGCGCTGAGCCCCAGGTCCCGCGCCAGCGGCCCCACGAGCGAGCCTCTGCCCAGCTCCTCGGGGATGGCGTAGCGGAGCCGCTCGCCCGCCGCCCGGCACCTCACGCACAGCAGCAGCAGCAGCAGCGCGGCCAGCAGCGCTCGCCCGCCGCCCGGCCCGCGCCTCTGCCGCCTCTGCCTCACCGCCATTCTCTGCCCACTGCGCTCGCCGCGCTCCTGCCGACTGCCGCTGCCCTGCCTCCCTTCCAGCCGCTCTCGCCGCCCAAAACAGACACCGCTCAAACACACCCAGCTCGCCGCGCCGCCTCTCGCCGCCTCTCGCCGCTGCTGCTGCTGCTGCCGGCGGTGCCGCTGCCGCTGTGGCCGGCGCCGGCCGAGCGAGCAGCCTGCGGGGGCAGGACGCTGCGGCGGCGGCGGCGGCGGCTCCAGCGCCGCTCGGCGCCGGCCAACAGCGACACCCGGAGGCGCCGCCGCGACACTGCAGCCGCCGCATGCCCGCGCTCAACGGGGCCCGGCTTTGGCCGGGGCTCAGCGCCTGCACCGGCCCCGGGGGCTCTCCCCGACTGCAAACACCCACAGCAGCAGCTCTGGCTTAACCACAACTAGGAACCCTTATGATTACAGCAGCAATATCCGTGTGAGAACGATCTATTTATTTCTAGCTGCAATAGACACGGAAACAAATATTCCTCCTTATCAAAGATTTTCTGCACTCTCTGGTTTGAGGTAGCATGAAAATTAGAAACCAAATATGTGTTCCAAAAATCGAGATCGGTTTTCTCATGCACAGTCAAAGAATTGAAGCGAAAATCTGAAAAGATGATAGCTGAGATGATTTAGAATTTAATTGTTCCAGTTATACCCAAGATATTGTTTGCCCATCACCTGTGCAAAACCAGTACAAATCAAGAGGACATTTTTACAGTGAATAACACTTGCAGAGAAATGTGAAGGCCAGAAGCAGTGGATGTGCTCTCAGATAAATGCCAGTGTACATACATACCTGGCAGAGAACAACAAAGTGCAAAGCACTGCAGACTCTGCCTTACACTGACTCCCCTTCCATCCAGAAAACCTTCTGTGCTTTTGGTGGAAACTCAAAAATTAGGCCTGCTACAATTACTGATTTAATATTTCCATTGTTTTGATTTTCCTAACCTCTAGGCAAAAGTCTCAACATCTCCCCAATCCGTTTTAGGACTGCAAAATCAGCTGAATGGTTTTCAATCAATTCTGAAGATTCATATACAAACTCCAAACTTCCATCTGACCCCATCAGAGTGGGGGAGATATTCCAGTGCTGTGATTTTCTGGTGCTTTACCACAACACAGCCTTAAAATTCTTTCCCAGAAAACTGGAAACTCGCTCAAGGCCTCAAGGTGCAAGCTAGGCAAGCTGCAGGAATTTTAAAGGACTATGAGGTCTCTCTGACTGGACTAAATGACTTTACTAAGCAGCAGAACAACAGAAATCCTTGGCACTTTCTGTATCAAAGAAGCCAAGCCAAATATCTCCCCCTGCCATACATGGGGCCAATCATTGGCCACTGTGACACAGCAGGGCCTGTGCAGTGCAGGAACCCACAGAGAGCAGCTCCTACCTGTGTGGACCTCAGAGACACAAGAAGAATCCCCAGGTAAGTGGAATTGGACAGCAGCATTTTACAGCTACCCACTTGAGTTAAGCAGGTTTTTCATTTTCCTCACGCACACTGTTCTGTCTTCATTTGGTTCTCAAGGGAAGTTACTGTTTCCTGCAAAGCAGCACTCACAAGTGGGAAGGAAACAAGAACCATGGCCTTCCAGGAAACAGAGCCTGAATTGAGATCCAAGGTGGAAAATGTAATTGCCACTTTCATGAACTCTCTATCAAACTATGCACTTCCCCTCTTTTATCACATGCACAGATCCACAAAGGTGTGACGTCTCCTAAGGTCATTTTTACATCTCTTAACATATGACAAAATTAGAACACAGATGTACCCCCCTCACATGTCCTCATTCTACATCAGCTGTAATAACATGTCAAGAAAAGAAAACCACTCCAGCAATGCAGGGATGCATTAGGAGTGCATTCAGAGAAACTCACCCAGAGGAAATCTCAGGCCTCTCTGTGGGCAAGGAAATTCATTCCCAACAGCACCTGGAGCCCACTGAGGTGTCAGGCTGGAAGTGAGACCTTGAAATCTTGTTCTAGACTGCCAGTGTGACTTCATTTCATTAAACACTCCAGAGCTCTCATCAGCTTTTCTACTATGTGGCCTGCTCATACCCCACAGATTTGAAGACCTAAGTTTGAAGGCCTAAGTTTGAAGGCCTATGTTTGAAGGCCTAAGTTAAAGCCTATATTTGAAGGCTTATGTTTAAAGGTGTAAGTTTGAAGGCCTTACTTGTGTCAGCTTTAACAAGTATATAAGACACATATCGAATATCTAGAGGTAAGGCACTGCAAGAAATTCCTTTGGAGAAAAAGCAAAGAAAAATGCACACAACCATAACTATGTGATCCATATAACAGCTAGGGAAAACTGAATATTTACACCAGCCCTTTAGATATTTCAGCAACTCTTCCACCAGCCCTGTCTCTGCACAGGCACAATGCTCAGACATCACCCAACAGGGACCCCTTTGCAGACAGACACCATTGGAAGAAGTTTTCCACACAACTTCTCCTTATGGAGAGCAGGGATCACAACACAGGTCCACACATATGGACTCTGCTCATCACTGATATTTGAAGAAATGTAAAATGTCTAAACAGTCATAAGCAATATGCAGTTCAGTTAAAGACTCAGATCAGGATCAATACATAGATGTATGTCATCATTCTTCCTAAGCACTTGGACAGTTTTGGATATATGCCACTTTGGAACCATTCATGTGAAGTCTATGTCCACATCCAAGAGCTACCACTCACAGGGAAGAGCTGTATCAGACATGGCAGAGGATAAAATGAGTGACTTTCTGGCACGTGCTTCAAATAAAAACTCCAAACCTGGACTTTGCTGGAAAATTAGACTCACCCATCCCTGCAATCCTACCAATTTCAATTAAAAAAAAAAAAACCAACAAATAAAACAAAACATCAGCAGTAACATCAACAAGCAAGAGCCATTAATAATATCTGAAGGTTTTCTCAAAGCTTGGAAAAACTTAGTACAAACACAGTGAAACTCTACAACACAGCTTTAACAACGACACACTGCTGGGGAAATGACATTTCCCACAGCATTTCTTAGACACAGAAGCACTGAAGCATGCACTGCCCTGGGCATTGCTTGCAGACAAATTCATTGGAGGATTGCCATCCTTTTCTGGACACAGGAAAAGGGCACTTGGTGTAAGTGGCACAGGCCTTGGCACACCCAAATCATAGAACCCCACTCTGCCTGCTGAGGGGCCAGTCTCTCCCTGGGAGCAATCTCTCCCTGACTGTTCACCATGAGGATGTTACAAGTAAGATCAGTGACTCCAGAGATGTTTACAGATAGAGTTTCAGACACACACAGGCCCATCTCTACCTGCTCATGACAAACAAGTCAACAGTTAAACTATCATTCACAGAGAGCACACCATTGTAGAAAAGCAAGCTTATGATAAATCCACAGCTTTGCCATTTATAATCTGAGCATACTCACTTTATGTAGTCCAGCAATGGACCATGGAAGTTAAAAAAAACACCTGCTCTCTCTCCAACAGGGCTTCCTCACACACTGCACCTGCAAGAGTCTCCTGAATCTCGTTACAGATTTTTTAGTTCTCTCTGATCTTTACCATTAGCAGAGGAACTCCACTGCAAGAAAAGTTGCAGAGACAACTTACCATTGCTAATATTTGACTTCGTAATGTGTGCAAGTGAGAAATAAGACAATTGCTCCCATTAAAAATTTAAGGAAACACATCTATGAATGTCTTTCCCTGATGAGTTGTGAAAATAAAAGGCATGTATGAGACAAATGTAAAGGATGTGATCAGATACTACCAGATACAAAGGCCCATTTAAGATCAGTACAAAGAAGAAGACAAGAAGATAACATCTGCAGAAATGTAGGGCTCAAACTAATGTAGATTACAGCTTTTGGAGAAAATACATAATCTAGGTATTAAAAGTAGGGATGTAATGAATTTCCTTATTGCAAAGCCCCCATTGCTACATTTCAGATTGGAATATATAGGGCGATTAATTAAATATATTGGCTATACATTAAATATATTACAATACATTAATGACATTACAATAACCTGTAAACACACCTATTCTCAAAAGAACTACATTATTATCTGTTAACCCACACATATTTGGGATAGAGAAAATTGCATTACTTTATACTACAGATCAACACTGAAAACTTATCTTTCATCTTATCATCTCATCTTATCTTTTCTCTTAACAGTCTTTCACACACAGAGCCCACTATTTGCATCTCCTGCCTGTAAGATCTTGCATGTTCTGTCTCGACCTTGATCCTTTGAAAGCAGTTTCCATCAAAATACCAGATATTCAAGGGTTTCCCTTCAACATGCACCAGGATAACATATAGCCTTCAAACAGGTATCTTTACACCTCTTTACTACGAGTGGAGAAATATTGGTCTGCCAAATGCATCTCAGAGGAAAAACAAGAAGGAGGTGGAACAGTACCTGTCTGTCAAAAGATACTGAGGCAGCGAGGATCATGTGATACAGAAACAACTTCCTTTAAAAAACTCACCAGCCAAGAGAAGTCTCCTTTATCATGCATCCCTCAAACACAGGAAAGCCAAGACCCGACCCCATGTCCACCGTGGTGTAGCAATAAGCCACGCGATTAGCACGTCCCTAAAAGATACTTTGCCTTCCATGTCAGCAAACAGGACTCCGAAAAGAGTAGAGAAGCAATATAAGAAGGAATAGCGGATAGAAATTGGTATGGGAACTCACCGGGACGGAGGCGGGATCCGCGGGGAGGGCGCCGGCCGGGTCCCCGTCCCCGAGCAGCGGCGCGGGCTCGTCGGGCGGCGGCCGGGCCGGGAGGGTGTCGCAGCAGCTGGCGGCCGAGAAGCGCAGGTGGCTCTTGCGCGAGTCGGCCGTGAGCGACACGTCGTGCGAGTAGGACTGCAGGAAGGCGCGCACGCCGTCGATGCCCACGAAGTGCGAGACGGGCACGCCGCGCAAGGCGCCGCTGTCCGGCGGCAGCAGCTGCTGGCGGTGGCAGCGGCGCAGGCGCAGCGCCAGCAGCAGCAGCAGGAAGGCCACGAAGAGGCACGAGACGGCGGCCACGGCCAGCACGAGCCAGCGCGTCAGGCTGGCGGCCGGCTCGCCCGGCGCCGCCGCCTCGTGGGCCGCGCTGCCCAGCTCGGCCAGCAGCTCGGCCACGCTCTCGGCCAGCACCACGCTCAGCGTGGCCGTGGCCGACAGCGCCGGCCGCCCGTGGTCCCGCACCAGCACCAGCAGCACGTGGCGCGCCGCGTCGCGGGCCAGCGGCGAGCGCGCCGTGCGCACCTCGCCGCTGTGCAGCCCCACGCGGAACAGCCCCGGCTCCGTGGCCTTGGCCAGCTCGTAGGACAGCCACGCGTTCTGCCCCGCGTCCGCGTCCACCGCCACCACCTTGGCCACCAGCGCGCCGGCCTCGGCCCAGCGCGGCGCCAGCTCCACGCCCGACCACGCCGCAGCAGCGCCCGAGCCCGCCGCTGCGGCCGGCGCCGGGTACAGCACCTGCGGCGCGTTGTCGTTCTCGTCCACGATCAGCAGCCGCACCGACACGTTGCTGCTCAGCGCCGGCGCGCCGCCGTCCTCCGCCCGCACGCACAGCTGCAGCTCGCGCAGCTGCTCGTAGTCCAAGGAGCGCAGCGCGTACAGCGCGCCCGTCTCCGCCTGCACCGACACGTACGACGACAGCGGCGCGCCCCGCACCCGCCCCTCCGCCAGCCGGTAGCGCACGCGCGCGTTCTGCCCCCAGTCCGCGTCCGTGGCGCGCACCGTCAGCACCAGCGCGCCCGCCGCGTTGTTCTCCGCCAGCCGCGCGCTGTAGCGCTCCTCCAAGAACACCGGCGCGTTGTCGTTCACGTCCAGCACCCGCAGCGCCAGCACCGCGCTGCTCTGCAGCGCCGGCGACCCGCCGTCGGCCGCCCGCACCGTCACGTTGTACTCCGACACCTGCTCCCGGTCCAGCTCTCTCGCCGTCACCACACGGTAGTAGTCTTCGTAGGATTTTTCCAGCCGGAACGGGAAACCTCCATCGAGCGAGCAGCGCACCTCGCCGTTGGCCCCCGAGTCTCGGTCCTGCACATGCAGCAGGGCTACGACGGTCCCGGCCGGGGCATCCTCAGAAATCTCACTCAGCGCCGACGACACTGTGAGTACGGGGGGGTTGTCGTTCACATCTGTTACGGTAATCACAACATGCGTCGTGTCAAAAAAGCCACCACCATCATGCGCCTGCACCTCCAGCTCATACGAGTCGCCTTCCTCGAAGTCCAGGCCCCTCAATAGAGTGATTGCTCCCAACTCGGCATCCAGCTTGAAAATCTGTGAGGCTTTTTCAGTGATTTTCTTGAACAAGTATTTCACGCGCCCGTTCAGCCCCTCGTCGGCGTCCGTGGCCGTGACTATGACGAGGGTGGAGCCCACGGGCACGTCCTCAGGCACACGCACCGTGTACTCCGCCTGGCTGAACACGGGCGCGTTGTCGTTCGCGTCCACCACGGTCACGCGGATCCGAGCCGTGCCCGTCCGTGCCGGATCGCCGCCGTCGCTCGCCCGCAGCACCAGCTCGTGAAACGCCGCCTCCTCCCGGTCCAGCGCCTTGGCCAGCACCAGCTCGGGACGCTGATCGCCGCCGGGGCCCGCCTGCACGGCCAGCGAGAAGTGCTCGTCACCGCTCAGCTCGTAGCTCTGCAGCGAATTCCGGCCCGAGTCCGGGTCATGAGCATCTGGTAGGGGAATCCGCGATCCCGGAGCTGTCGTTTCGATCATTCTCAGCTCTGTTTCTGCCTCTCTGAAGGTGGGCGCGTTGTCGTTAACGTCCGTAATTTCCACTTGGATCCCATAAACCTGCATCTCTCCCTCCACTATCAGCTCACAGCGCAGCACGCATTGCTGCACACTCTCGCACAGCTGCTCTCTGTCGATCCTCTCCGCCGTCACTAAATGTCCCGTCTTCCCGTGCAGAGCGAAATACTGCGTCCTACCTTTGTCCAAGACGTGAACGCCGCGATCTCGGATCTCCGTCAGCTGCAGCCCCAGGTCCTTGGCCACGTCGCCCACGAACGAGCCCTTGGGCATCTCCTCGGGCACCGAGTAGCGCAGCTGCCCCCACGCCGCCTCCCACGCCGCCAGCAGCACGGCCCAGAGCAGAGCTCGCTGCCGCCGGCCCCAGCGCCTCCCCGCCGCGCACATCTCGCCCGCGGAACCGCCGGCACCGCAGCACCGCCGATCCAATCCCGCTGCCACTCAATGCTCGCACCTCCTGCACCGTGCGCAGCTGCCGCTGCCTCCGCCTGGCTCCACAATGGACCAGCGCCGCGGGGACGATCGGGGACCGCACGTTCGGACACGGAGCGAACAACCCACTGAGCCGATCCGCAGCGGGCGGGGCTGCCGGTAGCGCTCCGAGCTTCCTCTCGCTCCTCTCGGTCAACAGCGGCGCCCGCAGCCTCCTCCCGGCACTGCAGGCACCGAGCGCTGCCCAGCGCTGCCCGCCCTGCCTTGCTCCATACAGGCCACGGTCGCCACCGAGATGGCGCTTTTCGTCCAGCGCCGATCTCCTGCCCCCGCATTTCTCCAGCCCATCTCTGCTTTCATCCTCCAGGGTATCACCATCGGGAGGAAGGCAGAGGCATTCTGTGGCCGGAGTTCTTTAATCGCACGGGAAACTCATCACTTACTAATGTAAATTTAAAAAATATTTTTGTATTTTACCCTGCAGCTTATTGTTACTCTTATCCTTTTTGTTCAAAAACATTGAACAACAGCCTCCCATACAGAAAACGGGAAAATATCATATCCCGAACACACAGATCTATCAGGTTCTTTAACACAAGTGGGACGAGAGCAATTGCATGCTTCTTGAAATATGGGAGCTAATTGTTACACCATTGAAGTATAAGTAGAAATAAAGATGCAGCTAAAACTCTCAAAGGAAATTTTCTGGACATAAAATATTTTTCATCCCTTCCTAAGATACACGTAGTGTTTCCTTAGTTTATACACATTAAAATTCATTCAAGTCATTCTATGTTTCCTTTTTTTCTGAAATATGTGTGTAAAACACTGTAGTTCGTTTATAAACCAATCTTCTAAGTATCTCTAATGAGGTTGGTACGGTAAGTTTTCAAGAAGACGATTATAATATCATAGAACAAAAGAACAGCTGCCATATCAAAACTGTGCTGACCACTAATCAATGTGCAAACGGGCTTGACTCAAGTGCCTAAACCATCCTCTGCCAATCTCCCTCATATGGGATCCCTTCGTATCTCATGTGTCTGTCCTACTAAACAGAATTGCAAAAATTCGCTCTTTTCGATATATTTGAGATCTACTAAAAGCCCCAACATCGTTGTGAGAAGAGGATAGAAAAATAACAATCTCTGAAACAGAAATCTTTCAGCATTCTCACCAGTCTAAGGAATCAAAATGTTGCAGAGCAAAACAGAGTGAACTGCCAGCCAGGACGCATAAACAAAGCCATCTAGCCTCACTACTGCATTCCCCCCCCAAAACCGGTGACAAACTCTTTTTTCACTCATGATGGAGAACGGAACTTTCCCCGTTCGTTTCCTTTCTAAATCTAACCGGGACAAAACAAAGTTGAACGAACGTGTAAAGCTGTACACGAGTTCCAAGAACACCCATTCCGAACAAATCAGTCAGGAAGGATAAAAGCTCCAACACCAGGGGAGAGGGATCTCGGTTTTTTGCTCGACTCCATCATTCAGAATAAAACGTTCTCCTTCCACAGAATACAAAACTGCTTTCAATGTTGCTAACACATCCAAATTGACAGAGCTCAAGTGTTGAAGACAAAATCTCGTGGCGGAAGCTGAACCTGTGACCAAGGAAGAACCAAGGGCTTCCTGCTCGCCATGAACGGGGGATAGCCCGTTCCTTAACTCAGTCCGTCACGGAGACAGGACTGTGCAACTCACATAAACACGACTCCGGGAAAAAAGGAGAAACACTGAGAAACACCGCTACTAGCCGAAAGGAGAGCTACAGTCAGAGCCTGTCATCTAAAACTGCTACCGAGAAAAAAAATGACAAACTCCCACCGCTACGTAGGGATACAGATGACGAATACACATTGACACCAGGCAAAAAAAAAAAAAACACGTGGGAAAAAAAGATGATGTTTCGGGAACATTTAAAAACAGAAGAAGCTCAGGCTTTACAGACCTGAGGTGCATCGGGATTGGCAGGCGGCTCTCCATCGACGAGGTCACTGTTCATGCTCGGCTTGTCGCCGGAATCGCCGCCCAGAAGTTCCTCCGCCGACAGGATGGGCACCGGCGGCGGCGGCCAAGCGGCCTCGGGCAGGGCGCGGGCGGGCGGCGGCACGCACAGGTTGTAGGAGTAGGGCAAGGTGCCCTCGCAGAAGTCGGCCGGGAAGGCGGCGCCGGCCAGCGAGAAGCGCTGCGCGCCCAGGCAGCGCAGCACGGCGGGCGGCCCGGCCCGGCGCAGCCGCGCCAGCACGGCCAGCGCCACGCTCAGCACCAAGAGCGCCGAGAGCAGCGCCAGCGCCAGCACCAGGTAGAACTGCAGCTCGGCCGCCGCCGCCGCCGCCTCGGCGCCCGCCGGCCGCTCGCTCAGCTCCGGCAGCGCCTCCTGCAAGCTCTCGGCCAGCACCACGTGCAGCGTGGCCGTGGCCGACAGCGCCGGCTGCCCGTGGTCCTTCACCACGGCCACCAGCCGCTGCTTGGCCGCGTCCCGCTCGCCCACGGCGCGCGCCGTGCGCACCTCGCCGCTGTGCAGCCCCACGCGGAACAGCGCCGGCTCCGACGCCTGCACCAGCTCGTACGACAGCCACGCGTTGCGCCCCGCGTCCGCGTCCACCGCCACCACCTTGGCCACCAGGTAGCCGGCCTCGGCCGAGCGCGGAACCACCTCGAAAGCCGCCGCCGCCGCCCCTCCCGGACCCTCTCCCGCCGCCGCCGCCGCGGGCCAGAGCACCCTGGGCGCGTTGTCGTTGCGGTCCAGCACGAAGACGCGCACCGTGGCCGTGGAGCTGCGCGCCGGCGAGCCGCCGTCCTGCGCCCGCACGGCCACCGTGAACTCGCGGCACTGCTCGTAGTCCAAGGAGCGCTGCGCGTACAGCGCGCCGCTCCGCGCCTCCACCGACACCAGCGGCGCCGCGCCCGCCGCGCCCGCGCTGCCGCCCGCCAGCCAGTAGCTCACGCGCCCGTTGGCGCCCGCGTCCGCGTCCCGCGCCTGCACGCGCAGCACCAGCGCGCCCGCCGCGTTGTTCTCCGCCACGTACGCGCTGTACGCCGCCTCCTCGAACACCGGCGCGTTGTCGTTCACGTCCGACACCTCCAGCACCAGCTCCCTGCTGCTCCACAGCGCCGGCCTGCCCCGGTCCCGGGCCACCACCGTCACGCGCTGCTCCGACGCCTGCTCGCGGTCCAGCGCGCCCGATGTCACCACCTTGTACGAGCCGCTCGACGACGCCACGATCGACAGCGGCGCCTCTCCCGACAGCGAGCACGACACCTCACCGTTCTCGCCGGAGTCCGGGTCGTTCACGTTCAGCACGGCCACCACGGTGCCCGCCGGCGTGTCCTCTGGCACCGGGCTCGAGAGGGACAGAATGGTGATCTCAGGGGGGTTGTCGTTCACGTCCAGCACCTCCACCACCACCTTGCACTGTGCCACCAGACCTCCACCGTCCCTCGCCTCCACCAGTAATGTGTAGCCTCTCGTATCCTCGAAGTCCAAAGCGTCTTTCAGCGTGATCATTCCCCTCTCCGCGTCCATCATGAACTTCTGAAGTACCTTGGCAGGCATTTTCCCAAAGCCGTAAGTGATTCGAGCATTGTTGCCGGTATCGGCGTCGGAGGCAGAGACGTTTAACACTCTCGACCCCGGTGCTGCGTCTTCGCGCAATCTCGCACGGTACTGGTCCTGCCCGAACACGGGTGGATTGTCGTTGGCGTCAGTCACATTGATCCGAATCCTGATAGTTCCGGATCTAACTGGATCCCCAGCATCCAGCGCCGCTAGCACCAGCTCATAAGAGCTTTCCTTCTCCCTGTCCAACGTTCTCTCCAGCACCAATTCCGGCTGCTTGCTTCCGTCAGGACTCTCCTTCACGACCAGAGAGAAAGATGGGTTGCTGGTAAGCTCGTAAGTCAGCAACGAGTTACTTCCGGAGTCAGCATCCTGGGCCATCTCCAGGGGAAAACGAGAACCGGGAATACTCCATTCCCCTATATCAAGTTCCAGAGCAGCATTGCTGAAGGTCGGGGAGTTGTCGTTCACGTCCTCGATGGACACCTCGACGCGGAAAACGTTCAGCGGGTTGTGCACCAGCACCTCGAAGCTGACGGAGCAGGTCGCCGACTCGCCGCACATCTCCTCCCGGTCCAGTCTCTCGTTCACGTACAGGTTCCCGTTCTCCTCATTCACTGTGAAGTATTTCAGCTGCTTCTTGCCGGCAGACGCCACCTGCAGCCTGCGCGCCGGCAGCTCGTCCGCGCTGAGCCCCAGGTCCCGCGCCAGCGGCCCCACGAGCGAGCCTCTGCCCAGCTCCTCGGGGATGGCGTAGCGGAGCCGCTCGCCCGCCGCCCGGCACCACACGCACAGCAGCAGCAGCAGCAGCAGCGCGGCCAGCAGCGCTCGCCCGCCGCCCGGCCCGCGCCTCTGCCGCCTCTGCCTCACCGCCATTCTCTGCCCACTGCGCTCGCCGCGCTCCTGCCGACTGCCGCTGCCCTGCCTCCCTTCCAGCCGCTCTCGCCGCCCAAAACAGACACCGCTCAAACACACCCAGCTCGCCCCGCCGCCTCTCGCCGCTGCTGCTGCTGGCGGTGCCGCTGCCGCTGTGGCCGGCGCCGGCCGAGCGAGCAGCCTGCGGGGGCAGGACGCTGCGGCGGCGGCGGCTCCAGCGCCGCTCGGCGCCGGACAACAGCGACACCCGGAGGCGCCGCCGCGACGCTGCAGCCGCCGCATGCCCGCGCTCAACGGGGCCCGGCTTTGGCCGGGGCTCAGCGCCTGCACCGGCCCCGGGGGCTCTCCCCGACTGCAAACACCCACAGCTGCAGCTCTGCCTTAATTCCACTCCAAGCCCTTTCTATCTGACATGTGCTGGCCGGTGCTTTCAGGCCATTCTTTTCAGTCACATTGAACACTCAGAAGCAAATATTCATTGCAGGGCAGTAAAGAATGGAATTCAGCTGCTCTTAATAAAAAGACAGCCCATCTACAGCAGCAATAAAGGATAATATAGGGAAGACTTCAAGAGCTTTTTCTCACTTTGTCACATGAATTGTTATTCATTATATTCTTCATTTATTGAGATTAATTAGTTGGAGATAAAGATCAGCCTAAAGCAATGTAAGCATCCCCTATCCCAACATAGCAGAATTACATTTACTCCTTTCCTTCTGACTCATTAAAGTTGCTTCATTTACATCTCCATATCTGTGTGCCTGACAACTGAAAGCACAAAGCAACGCTGAGTCCTTCAAAGAGTCAAACAATATTTTCAGTTCCCAAGTTAAACTTTCTCTAAAGGCAAATTAATCCACACAACCGACATGAAAAGTAACACTTTCTGCTAGACTTGAATGTTGGAGGCACGTCCAAAACTTCTTCGGTTAATGCCTTCTCTTTTATCACAACCCACAGTGAAAAGCTTTCTCCTAATCAAATCCTCCCTTCTCTTAGTTAAAAACACTTGTTGGCAGCTCTACAACAGCTGGCCCAGGTAAACAGAGCTCTGTCCATATTTCCTATAAACTTATTCATAAACTGGCACAGCAGAAACAAACGTTAAAAGGTCTACATAGACCTATGATTTCTCTGTGTTTGAAGACACAAACTACTGGAGTCCTTCATCATAACAGAAATGTTCCAGCCCTCAGGCCACTTCCATGATCCTTCTGGAAACTCTGGCCTGTCCATTGGGATATTGGCCCAAGATCCCCATGCAGTCCATGCTCTCATATAAAGAGTTCAGAGGGGAGGAGGGACCACCCTCGAACCTGCCAGGCAGAGAGATTGTCATGCAGTGCAGGACACAATTCCAGCAGCAGGTGCCCATGGGCAGCTCATGTCCCACCTCATCAACCACCAATAGCCCAAAGCTGCAAATTGCCTGAAGGTGCCTCAATCCCCTTGGCCATGCAGGTGCTGAACACAACTGGGCCCAGTCAGGGCCCTTGAGGGACAGCACAAGTCCCTGCTTTGCACCTGGACATGGAGCCACTGCCTGTAACTCTCTGCAGGTGACTCTCCAGCCTGGTCCTCAGCCATTTGACAGCCTCCAGCTGATTGCCCAGCATGTTCCTCTGGGGGATGGCCTGGGGGACACTGCACACCTTCTCCCACTGGGCCCTGCTCTGTCCATGGAAACCTTGCCTGGGCTGCCTGCTCACTCTGCCCTTGGACAGCTGCAGCACAGATGATCCTGCATGATTACACTACAGACAAAAGGTTCCTGGCTGAGCACACCAGGAGTGCTTGTCAAACCCTTCCTCTGTGCAGCTGGAAACATCACAGCTGGGTGTGGCAACTGCACCTGCACTGGGGCAGCTGGCACACAGGAGACCTTCCACATGAGATCAGACACCCTGAGGCTGAGCTCATGACCACGAGCAATGCAAGACTCAGAAACACATGGAAATGGACGGATGCAATGACATTTTGTGGGTCTGCCTTGCTCTACAGAACCAACTCAGATCCCACTGCACTCCAGCAGGCACAGCCTGGTGTTATCTGTGACATGTGACCAGCAAGGCAATGACCCAGTTCTTCTCTAGCCTCACACACAGAGCTCCCCTCTCTGCTTTTTCTTCCACGCCAGGCCACTGTGGGGTTTTGCTTGTGGCCATCTCCTCACTGCTCAAATCTCTCATGAGATGATAATGCACTGCAGCCACACCCAGAAGGGAGCTACAATTGTCTGCTCACCACCATTATGATAAGGAACTGAAGGATTCTAGAGCACACAAATGATAAACAATCATACTAAAAGGTCAGCAGTCATCCAACTGAGAATGGCTCATCAAACCATTGGCTCTGAGGGCATCTCCTCTCCATCCTTATCACATGCTCTGTTTCACAGAGAGGCAAAGTCTACTAAAGTCATATTTACATCTATTTCAGCCATCAGGAACAGGAAGAAAAGTCATTTTCATATTTCCTGCCTTCCACTCCCACTGCAACAACAGCAGGGGACATTGGCACATCATATGTTACTAAAAAAAGATGGATTGTAGATAATAGTATGGATACCGACATACTGAGTAAATCAAGGGAAAACAAAACCAAGTAAAAACCCCACAGAATACCCAAAACTACAAATCAGATAAGGCAAGGAAGCACTAGAAGAGTACAAGGAGTCAGACATGTTTACAGTGAAATCTTCCCGGGCTTTATTTTAAGTCCTTTGCAGGCCTTAAAATTCCTACCTGAGAGCACCTGGAAGTCACTGAGGTCTCAAGGGGCAAGTGTGTGGCCCTGAGGACTCACACAGCACAGCAGGATAGGGGGGGGGGTCATTTGAACAATGAGTCCTCTCCTCAGCAGCTCTTTCTACTGCATGGCCTGCTCACCGTGCACAGTTATGAAACCATCATTATAAACAGCTTCTCATGGGCCTCTTTCTCAAGGTAAATCTTGTGACAATTTACAGTCAATTTTCTTATTAATTCTACTGCCTATTCCCCACACACCCTTCAGTCCTAAGTGGCTGAAGTAAGGATGTGATGAAAAACATTCATATTTCAAAGCACTGACCAGAACTGGGGAAATGAGCTTCAACCTTCCTGGAAACAAAGGCCTGAGTGGAAGTGTAATTACACTTCTGAAGAAACTCTATATCACAATGTGGCCTAGAGATACAGATAATGGTGGTTTCACACAGGATTAATTAGCTCTTCCAGCCAACAATTATGGTTCTACATAAACAGTTACTGTGGAAAATTGTTTTGTTAGAAGACTGTAATTATCTTTCATGACTGAGACACCAGGATCAGAACAGCAAGGGCACTGCCTGTGGCACCAAGCATGAACTCAAACCATTTCTCTGTCAAACCCACACTGAGTCCCCCATCTGCCTGGCACAGAACTGAGCTCTCACCCTCCTCACTCTGCATTCACAGCCTTCAGTTTCACCATCAACACAAACCAAAACTTTCATTCCATGTTGGCCACAGAAAAAGCAAGAGCTTGGGGAAACATCCATTCATGAAGTTGTATTTCTTGAATGAAATATTCAAGGTCAGGCTGGCTGGGGCTCTGAGCCACCTGCTCTGGTGGAAGATGTCCCTGCCCATGGCAGAGGAGGGTGAATGAGAGGATCTTAAAGTCCTTTGCAACACAAACCTTTTTTATGATTCTGTGTGTCTAGGATAAGATGATTACATGTACAGCTTCAAGGGATGGGTGAGAGACACTCTCCCTATTGAATAATTATACGTTTTAGAGTTTGCAGAATTGCCAGGATCAATGAGGATAATTTTACTCCAAAAAAAAATACAGAAAAAGAAAACTACAAGGAAAACAGCAAACAATCTAAACCAAACCAATTACAGAAAGAAACTAACATCAACCCAGCCAAGAGTGGGAAAACACCAGAAGAGTATCAATCATGGCCTCACATTGCAGATTGGCTCAACTGCAGGATATACACAACCCAGGAAACTGGACTGGAACCAATACACAGGGGCCTCACACAGGAGTCACTCCACAGGCCCCACACTGTCATTGCCTTGGACACAAAGAGAAAGGAAAAGCTTGAACCACAGCTGGGGGCCTCATCTAAATACCAGGACAAACAGAACTGGACACAATTCATTCATTCATTTTGAACTGTATCGCACTGAACTCCAGCACCAGCCCTGTCTCTGCACACACAGACTTCTTCTCTCTGCCAAAACATAACATGACAGCAAATTTTGCATACAGACATCATTAGAAGAAAAGTTGTGTGCACAGCTTCTCAGAGCCCAAACATCACAACTAACATTATTCTGCTCCTCCATATTACTTCAACAAGTGAGAAATGTCATACAGGCCACAAATTATTTCCAGCTCTGTCAAAGACCCACACATCGAAGTATCACCTCAAAGGCAACATCACCATTCTTCAGCACATGGACTCCTCAAAGCATGTGTGACTACCACTCTTGATGCAAAGGGATATGGAACCCAAACTTGGCAATTTCAGTCCAAACCACACAAGGGAAAATCATTAAGACTCCTCCTGACTCATTTTCAGAAGGCCAGCAATAGCCCTGGGTATCAACAAAACACCTGCCATGTCTCCACCAGGACCTCATCACAAACCACACACCCAACACTAGCTCCTAACCCTTCCCACCTCCCATGGATAGCACAGATCATCAGAATTTAGAGAGATTCCACCAAAAGGAAAGTTACTCGACCGTATCTTCTTAGCATGGATAATATTGGACTTCACTTACGAGACAGCGGACTAGAAAAAACATTTATTACAGAGACATTTGAAGAAACTTGTCTAAGGAAATGTCTCTGTCTTTTAAAGTATAAACATGAAAGAACCATTTTCAGATCATCAGACAGAAAGTTAACGCCTGCAGAATTGAACAGCTCCCAACACTCTTCTGGGTTTATATAACTCAGAGTAGATGATTGATGATGTTGTTTAGAGGCACTGAATACACAGCTTGCAATTCCCATGCCCCATCTGTCAAAAGTACAAAATTAAGCTTTGAAGTGACACCATTGTGATGACAAACAAATACATATTAAGAACCTGTCAAGGTTCTCCATGCAGCTGGAATACAGATCTTCTAAACAATTACTTTGCGGCAAAGAACTCCACATTCCTTCATGCTAGAGATAGAAAATGGACAGGGAATGGAGGAAAACGTTCCCTTGAGTCTTTCAGCAGACATTCACACACAGCTCACAGCACTCAGATTCCCAACCCTTCACACCATCCATGGTGTCCTTTCACCCATATA